GAGGAGGACGAGGACGAGGAGGAGAAGGAGGAGGAGGAGGGGGAGGAGCGGGAGTGATAGTGGCAATACGCTGGTGCCAGTGGGAATTGGTGGCTGGGATCGTCGTAGTGGCAGCTGTACCAGCGGCAGCGGGCGTCGCAGTAGTAACAAGCTGCAACAACTGTATCACCCCCGAACATGTGAGTTCGACCAATCTCTTTTTGCTGCAGCATCGCAACACGCACGAACTCCCGAGCATAGCGATCTCACTGCCACCGAGGAGTGTCTCGCAACTCGAGGCTTTTGCTCTTCGGGTCAGTTGTCTAAGGTTTGTGGATGAAAGGGTAGAAACTTCCCTAAACCCTAAACCCCTTAAACCCGAAACTTCCCTAAACCCTAAACCCTAAACCCCTTAAACCCGGAATTCAAAACTGTAAACCGAGTTCCAAGAATCCTGAAGCCTCACGTCCTAGAATTCACCGATGTTCTACTTTTGTTCATCCCAAGCCCAAAAAGTATAGTTCCTATCTAGGTACTTTGGGGCAAAAAACCCTTCTATATAGAACCCTTGCAGGAACCCTAAAGTTTAAAGTATTTAGGGTTTTCGGTTTATAGAGACCTTACAGCAACCCTTGAAGGAACCCTCTCTGGGCACGTGGGACCCTGAGGGAATGGATTCTTCGAACAAAAACGAATCAGAGCCTTGAGGAGACGCACCGGGCGAATTGGGAGACGGTCGGAAATTCCCGTGGCTTTCAGGGTTCCGTAAAGGGGTTCCTTAAAGAGGGTTCTATATAGGGTTACTTTAGGGGCTTTTCGGTAGCAGGATCGAGAGTTGCGGATTTAGATTCGAATCTCCGACTCCTACCCAAACATATCCATGTCGGCGTCCACGGCTTCCTTCTGCGGCTCCTCAGTAGCCTCTTTCTCTTTGTCGTCGCCTCGGTTTAGTGGCCACGGTTTAGGGTCCGGCTCGGTTTCGCTAGCTGCAAAGCCCCGAGCCCTGAAAGTTCAGGAACCCAACCCTAAACCCTAAACCCTTATTTCAGGAACCCAAACCCTAAACCCCAAACCCTGCTGCAATGTAAGCCAAACTTGGTTGCCTCCAGCCGAAAAACTCCTTAAACCAATACGCCTAAAGCCTACTAATTCCCACGGGCTTCCAAAGGGAATTCCGAGTTCAGCGGGGTGTGCTGGTTAAGGGTTTAAGCTTTAGGGCTTCAGGGGTTTAGAGCTTTAGGGGTTAGGTTTTTTTAGGGTATAGGGCTTCAGGGGGACCAGAAACATGCACCTCGCTTGACATCCGGTCACTTCGAGTATAATGAAAATGTCATCCGCAACGCTTGCTACGGGTCCCTGTGCTCATATATTTCAGTTGTAGGGTTTAGGGTTTTCCATAGTTTGGCCCGAAGACACCTAGAAATGGAGTACATTAAGGCCAAAGTATACCCTAACCAAAGCCTACTTTTCTGTAGGGTCCCTATACATTCTATATTAGGTTCTATCGTAAGAACCTCCAAGTTTCAAGTATACATTTATAAGGTAATGGACCGTTTAGGGTATGAATGGGTATGATGACTGAATACTCGTGGACCTCTGAAATCTCATCGTGCGGGAGCTTGCTGCAGGGCCGGCAAACGTGGGAAGCGCGGCTTATTCAAAGATAGCGATATGTACACAGAACCCTAAACCTCGAGCGTCCGTCGCATCAAAAGTCTTGAAACGACTCGTCGGCTCAAACGCGTGACGCGTCCAACCACGTCTGTGTCTCTGGTTCTTAGCAGGGAATGGGGGGGGAATGGATCCCCATTATAGTCCCTTTGGGTCCCTAACAGTAGTCATAGTAGCACCGATAACCCATTCCTCCCGCTTAGCTGCTGAGAACGATGGAGTTGATTCATTCGGAATTTTTAGGGAGGCAGCAGGGAGGGGTAGCTGGCTTGTACTAAAGACCTAATGTTTCCTAAACTCTAAACCCTAAACCGCTGAACCCTAAATCCCTAAACCCTAAACCCCTAAGCCCTAAATCCCTAAACCCTATACCTAGGGGTCGCTATGGTTGATGCCCGCTATGGACCATGCAAGTATGTTGAGCCCTTTGTTTTATCTACTCTTGGGGAAGTAAACGTAGAACCCTGAACCATCCAATTCCAAAGTATCGACGGCTCGGCCGCGCACGGACATCTTTCAACAAGCCTCCAAGAAGAGCTGGACCTCGGGCAAACGATCGTTATGGTCGGCAGGTTTTAGGGTCTATAGAATCAGGGTTTAGGGTGTAGGGGTCTAGGCTCTAGGGTTTAGGGGTTTAGCGTTCAGGGTTCAGAGTCTATAGAGTCTAGAGGATTTGGGGTTTAGCGTTTAGTGACTTTAGTGTGTCAGGACCAACTGAACTCTGAAAAGGATTCATGGCTCATATCCCTTATGGCATTACGGGGCTGAGAGTACAAACAGTAGGGATGCTCAAGGATCATGTGCTTCTGAAGGGTCCATCTACCATGAAACCTACATCTGCATTAGTCTGCATTTCTCCCACTGGCGGGCCGACGTAAAGCTATTTATGAAAATTATTCGACAAAATGTTCTGGTCTACAATAACCACGACGACTAGTACCGCCACCACCACCACCACCACCCCTACCACTGCTGCTAAACCCGGCTATGTTGAGTAGGACGGATCAGTGTAACAATGCCGAAAAACAAAATTACATCGAGGTCCTGAGCTGGCTTGACAGACCGCAAAACGCAGAATCCTCAATCGGTGATTTTCATCAAATCTAAATCCTACCTGGGTCCCAAAAGTATGTACAGTTATAGCCTCTTAGAGGGGTGGGTGCACTAGTTTATCTACTTCTGTGGGTTCAAGTGAGCCCCAAAACCCGTGAACCCTCGACCCGCTAACAACTCTTAAACGTTGAGGGAGTTCCACCCCAACAAGGGAAGCCCGAAAATGAGGAAATGAGGCAGCTAGCTAGCTGGCTAGCTAGCCTAGAAGTCAGGGTAATATACGGGTCGAAGTTTCGCCCAAAGTGTTCCGTAGGATTGCAAGTAGAGCATACTATACCCGATAAATAGAATAGAATATACCCGAAAGCCCTGCTCAAATCTTGAAGTCTCTGATTGTTCTTGAAGGTTTCCCCCTAAACCCTAACCCTTAAACCCTATAAGCCCTAAACCCTCGGCCAAGCGCATCATTGATCACTGTTTCAGGGACACATGCCACAAACGAGTATGCTAAACTCAAAAAACAGAAGACACAGGTGAACAAACCCAAAAACACTATAGAACGGCATTGGGCCCAAGCCTCCTTAAGCTTACCGAGCCGTACAGAGTAGTTGTGGCATTGACTATAGTCCTGTCACCGTATTAACAGTATTAAAGCAATCAAACTACACAAAAACTGTCGCTAATATGTGACGGCTAATTCCAGTGAACACAGCTTCCCTACGGCGCCTGAACGCCCAAACCCAAACTCCCCCAACTCTGAAGTGTAATCCTTATAATTCATGAACCCTTGCACTCCGAAACCCGAAGCCCTAAACCCCACCCTGCGCTTTTGAAATGAAGACCCTGGGCCACTGAGGCGAGGGCCGATAGGGGCGGCACCCTGCTCATGAAGCTCCTGGTGAGGGATTTAGGGTTTCAGGGGTTAGGACGGTTCGGGCTTAGGGTTTAGGGGTTAGGACGGTTTAGGGCTTAGGACGGTTTGGGTTTAGGGTTTACGGGTTAGGACGGTTCGGGTTTAGGGTTTAGAGGTTAGGACGGTTAGGGTTTAGGGTTTAGGGTTTAGGGGTTTGGGGTTCTGGAACGGAAGGGGGGAAGGGGCTTCTAAATCCTTCGCCAAGGGTTGCATGAGCCTTCAAAAAATAATCAAATTAAACAGGTGTATATATTTATATTGTTTTTTTACTATTTATATTTGTATTTATATTTATACTTATATAGCGGTTTAAGGGCGACATGTAAAGTTCAGGGTTTCTATGAAGGCTGGCCGGGGTTTGGGTGTCGGCTTAGCTACCTAGGATGAGGTTCGAGCAGGATTTCTATAGCTTTTTGGGTTAAGGGTTTAGGGTTTAGGGTCTAGGGTCTAAACCCTAAACCCTAAACCCTAAACCCTAAACCCTATTTTAGGGTTTAGGGATTTCTGGGCTCGAGGCCTCTCAAAACTTGGCAACCATCGGTACGGCCCTCTTGGCTGTCAGCTTCTTATTCACAACGGTTTCAGGGACAGAAGAATCCCGAACCGGGTTCCGATAAGCATCTTACAGCATACAGTTATAAGGGTTTCTAGTCTAGACGGTGTTCTGTGAAGAGCGCGGAAATCTCCCGGCCTCCCAAACCCTGAGAATAAGCCCCAAGCCGGGACCACCGACACCCCAGAGCCTTAACCCTCATGCCCCCCACCCGTGCAGGACCGGAAACCCCTCTACTCTACACCTGAACTCCCTCAAATACCCCAACCCCTCCTTCGTCGGAACCCTGCAAACTCAACCTGCAACCCGGAACCTCCAAAACCCCTCTAGCCCCGAAAGGCCCCTGAATCTGGAAACCCCAAAGAACCAAACCTCACGACAGCCATCTAGAACCCCTGCTCTCCGGCCCTAAACACGCACTATACAGGCCCTCCGAAAAAGACTCAAAACAATACGAAAACCTATGGAACCGCATAGGTGCAAAAACATAAACCAATAAGCAGCACCCTACAAACACCCCAAGTACAAATAATAGCATAGTAGAGCGAAAGTAAGTAGAAATGATGATGACAAAGTAGAAAGAAGCAACCATAATCATCATCGACACCATCATCATCACCATCACCATCACCATCACCCTCATCATCATCATCATCATCATCATCATCATCATGACCATCATCATCATCACGTCGGCACTATATTATCACTATGCAAGCAAGCCCAAAACCCAAGACCCCAAACCCTAAACCCTAAACCCCAAACCCAACACTCCAAACTCTAAACCCAAAACCCTAAACCCCAAACCCAAAACCTCAAACCCGAATCCTAAACCCTAAGCCCCGAAACCGAACGCCACGAAAAAAAAAGGGACCACGGCCTCCCGGGTTGGACCAAGACCCTCGAAGAGCTCCGAGGCCAAGGGGGTATCTGAGCGTCTCTTGGCTTCAAGGACTCGGTTTAGAACTTTAGGGGTTAGAGTTTAGGGGTTTAGGGTTTAGGGGTTTAGGGTTTAGGAGTTTAGGGGTTTAGGGTTTAGGGTTTAGGGTTCATCTTGCATGCCACGTACCCATGTAGTATATACTTAGGCCCTAAAAGGGCCTATATAGGAACTCCTTTAGGGCAGGGCCTTTCATGGGTCTTGGAGCCGAGACATATTCAGGGTTTGAAGCCTTCTCTGTTTGCGTCTTCTGCGATTTTTAATGCTTGACCGAGCTTCATGTTCTTTAACCTTCCGCTTCACATGATTTTTTTTTGAGGGCCCTTCTCCGTCTGCTCACGTCTGAGCCACATGAATTTAGGGTCTAGGGTTTAGGGTTTAGGGAGCTTTCGATGTTTGCGGTTCAGGCTGCTTGAGGTCCTTGAAGCTTCGCGGGCTTTTTGATGCTCTGGCCTTCTCGAGCTAATATGGGGGCCTTATAGACTAGGGTTTTGGGGCTCATGTAAAGGCTCTTAAAGGGTTCTATAAGGGCTACTAATAAGGCTTTGGGGTATAGCGGCCTTAATAATTAGACTAGGGTTTTGGGGTCCATTATACTACAAATATAACGAGGAACCCCCCAAAATAGTATTGGTAATTATCTAGGCCCCTATACTATGCGCCTGGAATCAAAGCGAAATACGGATTCCGCTTCTCAGCTTGCAGGTTTTGAAGACACGGGAAGTTAGATTTCGGATTCTTTGGTTCCTAAGCCCTAAATCCTATAAACATACATTTTTTCGGGTTCTTTGGTTCCTAAGCCCTACACCCCACAAAGTTCTAAACCCCATCCACTAAACCCTAAATCCTATCCCCTACACACGGGATGTTAGACACATGCTTTCGGATTCTTTGGTTCCTAAATCCTAAACCCCATAGACTTCTAAGCCCCCATCCACTAAACCCTAACCCCAAACCCCTAATCCCTAAAGCCCTATCCACCCCTAACCCCTACTCCCCTAAACCCTTTCAACCTGAACACTAAAAACCCCTAAGCCCCCGTAGACCCCTAAACCTTAAACTCAAAACGCCGGGTTTAGGGGTCAGGGTTTGGGGCTTTAGGGGTTTAGGGGTTTCGGGGTTTGGGGATTTGGAGGTTTGGGGTTTGGGGGTTTAGGGGTTGGTAACCCTCTCCCTAAACCCCTAGCCCCTAATCCCTCAACCCGAAAGATTAACACTTGTGCAGTTCTCCAGATTTGGATCCCTTTGTCGGCCCCCAATATAGTACATCACCCCTGAGAAAACAGTATGGTACGCCCTGGCGGCGTATATTTTCGAGGAATAGATTTGGGTAGGTTTCGGGGTAGTTGGCTTACATAATATTTAGGATGTCAAACATATTCCCGTGGCGACGTCTTGTTGCTGCAGGGATCCCTAGTCCTAGCTCCTTTTTTAAACTGTAGTTTGACACTGTAGAAAGGGATTGG